TGACTGGGATAATTGGGATGGGAGTGTCAGAGACAGTGCGATTGGCACAGGACAGAGTGGAGTTTAGGGCTGTTGTACATAGGGTCACTATGAGTCGCAGGCGACTCGACGGCACATAACAACAACAATAAGAACAGACTGGATGCACAAACACTGATGAATGGAGACCAGATGAACTGTGGGGTGACATCATACATGAAAAAAACCTTTTCTAGGCCATAAAAAAATAGGAAAGAAAAAAAAGACCAAAATGGATGTTAGAAGAGAGGTGGCACAGTTAAAGCAATAGTGGACTGAAAGGGCTGAACACACATTTCAAAGTGCAGCTGGAAAAGAAATGGTTTAGGTTTAAGAACTGATAACAGAGGAGGAAGTCTAGGCTGCACTGAAGGTTTCAGTGACAATGAGGCCCCAGGAACAGACGGAATACCAGTGACAAGGTTTTAATAAACTGATACAATGCCAGAGGTGCTCACTTCTTTATGCTAAGTAATCTGGAGACAGCGATTGGCCCCACCAACTGGGAGAGAGTTGTATTTGTGCTCAATCCAGAGAAAAGGGACCCAACAGAAGGCAGAAATTACCCAACAGCATTAATATGACACGTCAGCAAAATTTTGCAGAAGAAAATGAAAAAATGTTTCAAGTAGTGCACTGACGAGGAGCTGCTAGAAGTGTGAACTAGATTCCGAAGAGGCCGTGGAGTGAGGGGCATCACTGCTGATCAGAACTTGGCTAAAACCAAGAGAATACTAGAAATAGTACTGTTTTACAAAGGACGCAAAGGCATTTGACGGTATGGATCACAGCAAATTGCAGATAATGTTGTTACAAATGGGAATTCTGGAGGACTTGAACCTGGAACCTGCGGACAGACCAAGAGACAGTCATCTGGACAGACAAGGAGCTACTGTATGGTTTAAATGCAGGAAAAGTGTGTGCCCGTGCTGGACACTTTCGGTGTACCAATTCAATCTGTATGCTGAGCAAACAGACATTAGACTGTGAGGAAGAACAGGGCATCAGGAACGGGGAAGGTTCATCCACCTGTAAGTTGCTGGCTGGAGGTGACGAGTGCCAGAAGCATTTACTGAAGTTTACAGGCAAGATGGTTACTCCAGTCGGCTCTGAAGTTTGGAGGGGAACACATGCGATCTTAGGGTGAGGAGCAGGTCCCGCCCACCGAGCGTGCAGCCCCCTGGGGAGGGGCTCTACCTCCCCGTGTTCCCACACGTACAATGCTGGAGCAGGTGCTACCTGGCCTGGGCCCTGAGCGAGCCTCTGAGACAAGGTGAGTGGAGGGACCATCTGCTGGGGGTGGGGGTGGGGTGGGAGGAGTGAGGGTCTAAAATGGAGCAGGAGGCGGGGAGGTGGAGGGATACACACAGAGGCAGCATGTGGCTTCAGAACAATTGAGCTGGAGACAGAGAACAGTGAAGAAAACCCGGCATGGCATGAGATGGAGGCAGGGAGGTGATGGTGACAAGATGCGGAGTGCTGCGGCGTTACCATGGTTTCTGTTTCCCCTTTTCTCTGGAGGGAGTAGGTCTGAAGGCTCAGGAGTGGCAGAAAGTGGGAAGCCCTGGCCTGCCCGCATCTCTGCTGGGGGCCTGAGTGCCACACACTTGGTATAAAATGCTTCAAGTATTACCAGCTGAGCTCTGGCAACACAGTCTAGTAGGGGCTGCGGGGCTGCACCAAGGCCATGCCTCTCTGATGCGTCCACGGGCAGTTTCACAAAGAAAGAGGGGCCATCAGCTCCTATCGGATTTGGAGCCTCAGAAACGTGCTGGAGGGTCAGCTAAGGGTCAGTCCTGCCTTGACGGCACAGAGCGCTGAGTGTGTCACACAGCTCAAGTGGGTAAAGCTGGAAGCAGCTCCAGCCGTGCAGCTGCTAAGTGAAGACATGCGTCAAGGCCGGCAG